AAAAGGAGCCTGGAAGGACATGGAACCTCTGCACAGCCCAAGAGGCTCCCTTTAGACCACATCTCTGCAGCCAGAGCCATCTCTCCATTATCTGCCCCAGAGGAACACCTGCCGAAGACCCAGAGTGCTCTAGGACCCTTCCCCACCACAGCGGGGGCCCCACTCCCCCCTCTCTCCACTGCTCCAGGGTAGGCAAGGCGGTTGAATGAGGAGAGAAAATGAGCCAGGAGGAGCTCTGGACTGGGAGTGTGGTGGGGTTTCCTCTCACCTGGCCCCTGTGACCTTGGGTGGTCCTGTGGCTGCTCTGGGCCTCCACTTCCCCAGCAGAGCCAGGAAGATAGTAAACTGGAAGACCTTGAAAATCCTTCGAACTGGGATGGTCTCTGATGCTGTATGGTGGGTTTTCTCTGCCCTGGGTCGCTCCCCTGTGCAGGCAGGTAGAGCTATGAGAGCTCCTTGAAGCTCAGAGCACATGGGTGACTCTGACCCTCACCTAGAACCTGGGACGCAGGCTGATTGCACAGAGAGATGCAGCAGCGGCTTCAGGGAGTGCTGATCCCAGCCCTTTGGGGATGGGGTGCCACAGACCACCAAGAAATACCTCCCTTCCCATACTCAGAACTTCTAGGCAACCTGGGGCCCTCAGCTCCATTTGGAGTTCCCAGGCTGCAGCCTTCCTGGGGGTGGGGAAGAGGGCAGGAAGAGTAGCCCCACCTCAAGACAAGGTGGGCCCTGTGGGTCTGAGGGTGCTGCTGGTGCATGTCCCACACAGGCTCCCGCCTGGTGTGCCTTGAATAGTGTCCCCCAAGGCAGGGGCCCCACCACTATCACAGTCTCCTCCTTGGACTCCAAGGATCTCGGGCCTGGAGGCAGGGCCACCACCTCCTACCCTAAGGCCTGGGGTCCCCAGTCCTCAAGTCCAGCTCTAACACCCCTGACCTCTTATTTTCACCTTCCTCAGCTTCCCTCCAGGAACCCCTGCCCCTCCCACCACCTCTCTTGGGGCCCTACCTGAAGCAGGGCTGAAATCACAAGGTCAGAAGCCCCTCTCTGGCCAGCCCCTGACTTCTCCTCAGCTCAGTTACTCAAATGGCACGCTCATGCTCTGCCTCCTCAGGCCTGCTCCTCCCGCTCAGCTTCCCGCCCATCTTCACTCCCAACCCAGCTCCAATTCTGTGGGCCTCTGCTCCTGTTCTCCCACCAATCTCCTGAATGCCCCACCAGAGGGGATCCTGCGGCCCCTCCCTGAGCTGACCCCTGCCCTCTTGCACCACCCACTGGGCTTCCCTGCCTCCTTCGGCCAGCTGTCCCTCTCATTCTCCCCTCAATGTCTTAAAACTCTGGCCTCCCCCTGCCTCCGTCTCCTTCCTCTCTGCTTGGTCACAAGAACCCAGAAGCCGTCAGAACAACTTCAATGTACCCACCCCCAGCCCAACTGCCTCTGCCCCCCAGTCCTCTTCCACCCACTAACATGGAGACAGGGTTCTCCCCCATCATGGCCGATCCCCTATCTGTGCTCTGGTTCCCTCCCCTCTTCTCACAGTTTGCTCCCCCAACATCCTCCTCTCAATGCCCCCAGTTTCTCTCCTGGTGCCTTTTGCGTTTACACAAGCTCTGGTCTTCCCCATTTTAAAAAAGGAAAAATAAATAAATGAAAGTCTCTCTTGATCCCACATCTTGTTCCAGCTGTGGGCCTGTTTCACTTTTTGCCCCCGGTGCCAAGCATCACCTTTTATCTGCGCCCCGGCCCTCAAGGACAAGATTGCCTTCCTTGCCTGAGACACCAATGCACGCTCTTCAACCTCAGGAAGCTTGACCTCTCTGGAGGATCTGACCCGGTGGACAGCTCCCCCACGTGCCAAGCATCACCTTTTATCTGCGCCCCGGCCCTCAAGGACAAGATTGCCTTCCTTGCCTGAGACACCAATGCACACTCTTCAACCTCAGGAAGCTTGACCTCTCTGGAGGATCTGACCCGGTGGACAGCTCCCCCACCCCTGATCCCACCTGGCCCAGCTCTGCCTTCACTTCCTTGGCCTCCTGTCCTCGGACCCCCGTGGGGCCTCTGTTCTCCACACTCTCCCTGGCTGACCCCACCCACCACCCTCACATCCAGCACTGTTTTTATGGTGGTGGCCTCTACTTTTGTCCCTCCAGCCCAGGCCTCTCTCCTGAATTCTAGAACCAGAGCCAACTTCACACAGGGCACCTCCATTCACATGTCCCATGGGTTCCTCAAACCCCATGTGTCCAATCAACTCAACTTGCTGTCCTCCCTCCAACCTGCCCCACCTCGTGTCTCCATCTTGTTAAGTAGTCCCTACATCTGCCTGGTCGTTCAAAACCAGAAAGCTGGGCGCATATCCCGCAGGTTCCCTTTCCCTCCCACCTCACACTGTTCTTCATCAAATCGTGCTGAAGCTGCTGCCTGACTCTCCCTTAAAGGACCCACTTCCCTTGATGCCCATTGCCAACAGCCTGGTTCAAGCCGCCATCATCTCTCGCTGGATGCCCGCCACAGCCTCCTGATGGTGCTTTCTCCTCCAGAGCTCCAACCTAGCCTCACAATGCAGCCATGGGACCGATCAAAATCAGAATCTGTGGTCCTGCTTTGCACAGCCCTTAGGGTGACATTTACCCTCTCTGCTCTGGCTTCCAAGTTCCCCCACCACCTGGCCCCAGCTCCCCTTACCTGGTCCCCTCATCTCGCCCCACTCTCTGCTCGTGCTGCAGACTTTGCTCAGCTCTTGGAACGTGCTGTGTGCTGCCTCACCTCACACCTTCACATCAGCTGATCCCCAGCCCACGTGTCCCAACCCCCTTCTCACCTGGCCAACTGCAGCCCATGCTCCAGCTCCCAGGGAAATGCCACTTCCCCCTAGGCTTGGTGTGGTTTGCTGTCTCCTCCCACGTCTGGCTGAACTCTGTCCTAACACTCTCACACTTCATTTGCTATTCTATGTTTAATCCTTGAGTTTACTGCTTGACCCTCGGCCCTGTGAGGTCAGAGACTGGGCCAGTCTCATTCTCGGCTCCCCCCCCCCCCCCCCC